AAAAAAAAAAAAAAATTGGAATCAGTATAACAATTTTTACAGATTATAAAATCTGTAAATTACAATATCTGATTCTATATTCTTTCTAGTTAAAGGCAGCGTTTATTTCGTTCGTTTATCACAAAAATTGTAGAAATCACAGCATTTTGAGTAACATGATTACAATTTTTATTATTCTGCAATGGCGGGCATTTAAATTAACTCTGTCCTGCTGCCACTACCGGAATTTAAATGGCCTGGCCGATAAAGGTTAACTATGCACTTTTATTTTGAGAAATGGTGTCCATAAATTACCAAAATTTAAGGAAAATCATTACAACCATTTAAAAATAATCACAACTTTGTTTTGTGGCTCATATGAATGGCCGTTACTTTTGAAGCTGTAATGTTCAGATTCACCAGAAACCAACCTAGAATGTATACATTCAAATACCAAATATGGATGAAATCCATCCAACTCGTTAGGTGCTAGCAAATAAAACATCCATACATAAAGGCACACAACATGCCAAAAACCACTTTTTGCAATTACAGGATATCTGAGACTGAATATTTTCATTTTCTCAATACTTTTTGGCATATCTACATATTTGAGATGACAGAAAAAAAAACAGGCAAAACAGCTTTACTTAACACATTTTCCACAACATGGACAGAATTTCCAGTTGGACCTTCTGACAGCATGTAATTTCTTTATGCAACAGAACTTCACAGCCAGCTGGTACCTTGTTCTGTGCACAGGTGGTAACAAGCCTGGAAATGAACTGTAACCGTTCATTCTGATTGGAGGACTGTTGTGTGTTAATTAAATCTGTATTAAGTTAAGATTACAAAATTACAAACAGAGATCCGGCAGAGAGCCAGCTCTTACACGCGGAAGGGACATAGTTCAAGTTTTGCTATACATCTGGTATTTCTTGGAATTCTGGCAGTTTCAGCAAAATCGGAAAGTCTTTGAGAATTTGAGAGCTGACAGCTTGGGACAGCTGTAACTTAGAAGTGGGACGGCCGGAGCCTCATACCCTGATCGTAATGCATCAAGGGGCTGTCAACCTTAGCGTCAGGTCAGCATCTGCCAGAATCACATAGCAAAGCAACATGATTGGGAATTCAAAATTAGGAACCTCCTAGTTTGAAACTTTAACCAATGACAGAAGTGGAGGAGTGGATTTCTCCTGGAGTCTGGGGTTCGTGGACCTCAGGATTCAGAGAGGGCATTCCACCTCAAGGAGTCTGGATACATCTTTCGGCAAAGTCGGACACAAAATTTACAATTACGGCCCTTCCGTAAAGTATTATAAGTTAAGTTCAAATTAAGTACTAATAAATTCAGTTGTATTCCGTAAGCTGGAGGGAATTAAATGACCACTAAATGCAACGGTCGAAAAAGGTGTGTGATTGTAGTGAAAGGTTCTTCCTGCCCTGCCCGAGCCAGACCCGTATAAGACCCGGGATAGGAACTCAGCTCTACAAATTACTGAACAGAACCCAGATACTCCCGTCTTTACCTGCACTCGCGTAACAGCTCCAACAACCACAATTCTCCTCCCTTCCCATCTAACTTCTCGACATCCACGAGAAGAGGGAGGACGGTGATAAGTGGAGCACAAACGTAGGATAAAGGGAGGACGGTAACAGAACTCTCTGTAATTTTACATTCCCAGGTCCTCCTGATGAGATTTAGTTACTGAGCACATTTGGTAAATACCGCACAAACACTCATCTATAGATCACCTATGTCACCTGCATTTCTTTTATTCTTAATTGGAATCTCAGACTGACAGAGTAGATCTAACGCAAGACATAATAAACTCCCCTTTCACTTGTTAACTGTTGTGGCTGAGACAACTGATATGCTATTTCAAAGCCACCTCATTTTGTCACTTACAGTCATAAAACATTCTTCTTCACAAACTTATGCATACTTACCCTTGGTCCTCAAGGATTTCTTCAAGTTCAATGCATTTCACCTCAACCTTCCTCTTCCTTTCATGGTCTAAAATGTCACGATTTGGTTGCCTGTTGCTAGCAGCTTCCAACTTCTCAAGTTCCTCTTCTGTCTTGTAATTTACCTTATCTTTAGTCTTTCGCACGTAAGCCCAGTTATGTTGAACATACCCATTGGTTCCTGAACCTCTTGCAGTGGGCAAACCAATTCCGTTGTACATGGTTCGTAATATTTAATATATATTCACAGCAATGGTAACACCTACAACAAAATTAACCACGCTGTTATCTACAGTTCAATCAAACAATACATTTATACATGGTTAGGTAAGGTTATGTCAACACAACAAAAATGGTTTTTCAGACAAACAGTATTTCTCAGATTGAATTTTATTTCTTTCCGCTACATGTTTCGGTTCTCATGGGACCATAATCAGGCTGTATTATATAACAGTCTAAGGTTAAGTTAACTCACAATATGAATCTATTTTTTGTTATGAATTGAATTGAATTTATTTACATTCTATAAATCCTAAGTAGGTTAGTACCTTTGGATACAGAACAAGTCAAAAGGTTACATACATAAGTACAGGCAATTTTAGCTTAAAAATTAATATAATTTAATTTTACATCATTCTCTATTTACACTGAAGTATTCATCTAAAGAGTAGAAGGAATGAGCATGCAGATAATTCTTTAACTCCGATTTAAACTTTTTTGAATTGAATTGAATTTATTTACATTCTATAAATCCTAAGTTGAACACTTTTATGCCAGTAAAGTAGACTCCTTTTTGATATACTGATAAAGTTGATGAGGGTAGGTGGAAGTTATATTTTTGTCTAGTATTCATGTTATAGACATCAGAATTTAATTTGAATTTATCTTTGTTGTAAACAACAAATAAGAGAAGCGATAATATGTATTGCGATTGAAGAGGTAGAATTTTTAATTTCTTAAATAATTCTCTACATGAATCTCTACTTCTACATCCTGTAATGATTCTAATTATATTCATTATATTCATATATATATTGACGGATAACCTTACCTAACCATATGTTTGTAACACAACAGGCTGCACACTATTAAAATAATACATTTATAGCTTCACTTGACATAATATAAAGTTGGAGGTCAGTTACAACCATTATCTTCCTTACCAGAAATTATATTTATTCTACAAAACACATTTTATATTTAGATACACGGAGTTACAAATAACGTGAATTAAATGTTGTGCGTTACTCCTGCAGGCCTGGGCAACAATTAAACGCTCCCTGTTGAAAGAGCGTTTTCATCCAAGATGCAAATACTATATCGACCGCAAAGCATTCTTCCCATCTATGCCCATTTACTTCAACAATACCAATTACATACTATTTATCACAGCACACAAGGAGAAAGTGCTGATATCTACGTACCTTTTTACTGTATTTCTTACAATATAACCAGCTCGCTATATTCAATTGCGAACTTCGTGTAACTACACAACACTACCATCTTGTGAATCTTATTAGTACTTCTTGTTCTCACAAGAAGCGCTGTAATCGGATAAAACATCTGAGCATCAGAATTTTCAACATGGTTGACAAATTGTTGTATAATACGATTTTGTCACAAACTTTTTCACCATGTGGCAATTATCTTCTTGCCGGAAATACCTACGGTGATGTCGCTGTTTATGAGTAAATATAATTTTAAGTTTAAAAGTATACATTTGTAGCTGTATATTGATTTATCACTACTGTTGGTGTAGTTTCAGTCTGTTTTCATACTAGCTCGTTTGAATGAGAAACAGCAGGGATGGTTCAGTCGGTATCGGTCGGTATAGCAACGGGCTACTTGCTGAACGACCGCAGTTCGATTCCCGGTGGGGGCAAGAGATTTTTCTACCCTGTACAGCGTCCAAACAGGTTCTTGGCCCCCCATTGTATTATTCAGTGGACACCGGCGGCGTTTTCCCCAAGGGTAAATCAGCCGGGGCGTGATGCAGAACACTCACCTGAAACATCATGCAAGCTAAAAATGCAAAGTAAATGGTTACCGTGCCCGAAAAATATGCTGGCTTTGTTACAGTTTCTATAATATTTTTGTTATAATTTCAAGATATGTAAAACTTGTTCATGATTCAGGTTTACCCTCTCTGAAACTTATATTTCCAGCTTACAGAAGATACTAAGCCCAGGAGATGGCTTGACCCCATCCTGTAGGAAAGCTGAGTATCATTTCTGTGTGAAACAAGATGTTCAAATCTGCAGCATGGTCACCATTGACAAATTTCTTCTTATTGGAATGGTTGGAGAAATTACAGGCTGGGATTGGAAAACCATAACAGCCAGCAAGAATCCAAAACTAGCATTCAGCATACAAATTCCTACTGCAAAGTAATGTATACTAACATCTCTGAACCAGTTTCTTTATTCTTTCAATTGTTAATCATTATGTCATACAAACACTGCTGCTTCCTCTAAATATTGTTACTCTTTCAAAACATGCAGAGAAAATGTAGAAACTTGTTACCAGTTATAATGATATACATATTGTTATGTTTAGTGACTAGACATGGGGTTTGGATTAATAATTTGATTTACTGGATGCTTGTAACTTGTAACTACAAATGATTATATCAGTCTCACTAATTTATGCATTACGGCTACAACACACACAAAGTCTTCTGTTTGTTCACTAGTTGTTGCTAGGTGGTGGCTGCTAACAGTGCAATGCTAATACTAATGAAGGCTAGACCTAGGGATTCCTGCAGAAAATTCTTTAAAATATTAAATATATTACCTCTGGCCTCACAGTACATATTCTCCTTGGCTCTGTTTGTGATGGCAAATAAAACTTTGGTCAGACAAAATTCTGAGATTCATAGTTTCAGTACTAGGAATAATTCCAAACTTTTCCAACAAATGACTCATCTAACAATGTTTCATAAAAGTCCTGCTTATGCAGGTGTCAAGATTTATAATCATCTTCCAGATAATATTAAGGTATTGGCATGTGACATTAAAAGTTTTAAGAGAGCATTAAAAAAATATTTATATGAGCATTCTTTTTATTCTGTTGATGAGTTTTTTAAGTATAAAACTAGATAGCCACCTAGACAGCGTAAATAACGTTGTTACATTTTATGGTCATTTATTTATCTTTTTCTTGCTCTATGACTGTTAATTAC